TCAATTTTAGCTAAAGATTTAAAAAGAATGATAATGCTTTTATATAAGCTTCCTTAGGGCAGGTATTTTTGTCTAACTAGTTACTCAGGGTAAATGGTACCTACACATACGATTTCAATAAATCTGTTCCAGAAGTGTCCCAGGTGATTTACACTGAATGAATATTCCAGGTGATTTACATTGTTCCTGGAAGGGGGGGGCTTACAAGGTCTCTATTTCTTGGTCTAACACTTCATTGTTGTGCTGTAATATAACACATTTGTTTATTTCTGTGAGGCAGGATGTGAGATATAAGGAAAAGACAAAGAATCATGGGACTTAAAACGGTGCACTAAAATCTGAAAATCTATCAAGTGTATTTGTAAAGTGGACTGCCTAAGATGACAGTGACAATCTAAGTTCTTGATAGAGTTCAAATGGTAAATTTTGTGAGGGAGGGGTAAGGCTTTAGACAGAACAGAAGGTATCTTCCTGCCAGAGAGCAGGGAACATACGAATTCAGTTTAGCCACCTGGGGCCCATTTAGTGCACTAGAGCAGTAATTTGCTAAATGGGTCCCTCATAGTAAAATAGAATGAGTAAATAGTGAGCAATTTAGGCATGGTAAACCACTAGTAGCTCAAGGGATATAAGAATGTGAAACTATAATTAGATCCCTTGTTCATAATGTACTAACTAAATGTATTACATTGTATATTGCATCTTTCTGAGTTTATTTCTGGACACAGCTGAGCCCTTAACAATTCAGACTGAAACCATCCCAGCTATCAATTCATGCTTCCATTAAAATTCCAACTGCTTATATTAGAAAAAAATTCCAAAGATGGTTTCTTTTATCTTGGATCTAAGGATGCAAACAGGATTAACCTAGATGCAAAACACAGCAAGTCAGTTATAAATCACACAGCATAAAATAAACTGTGGCTGTAAATTGAAAATTATGTTCTCTTTTTCTATACTTAGCTGTGAAAATATTTTAACAAGTTGGCATCAGGGTTTGCAACTTTTACATCTGTTGTTTCTTTTCAGGATTATCTTTTAGCATTTTAAGATGTGATTCTTTGCAAAGTGTGGCTTGTCAGAAATGTGGTATTAGATTGTAATTTGGCACACCTTAAAAAGGGTAGGGGGCATTCATGAGTTATGCGGTTTCAGGATACTGGCCTATTCTCCACTGTACTTTTAGTAGGAGAAGCTGCTATTTCATGGGTGTCTGGAAAGCATTTGTCCTTTACTGAAATCCTTTTCTTATTCGAAGAAATCATATAGTGTGGGTTGGCTCAGATGGTCTGGATGCTGTTCCATGATACTACCAAGTTCTAAGCACAAGTTTCATTGCCCTTATCTATTCATTGCCCTTGTCTATTATTTCAACTATGAGGTTCCAGTTGATCTAGCGGTTAAGGGGACTGTCTACTCATTATGAACTCCTATTTTCTTTCTGTCTCTCCTCTCACCCCCAAGTTTAGTAACTTTATTGAAGGTTTGGAGGTGGAACAAGGGATGGATCACACTGTGAACCCTTATTCTTCTGTTCTTCCCTCACCTCTGATTTTTATTACGCTGGGTACAATGGAATATGGCATCTTTCAGACTACAGACACTGTGCAGGAAATCGTTTATCTATGTAACAATTATATTCTATCTTCTTTCTCTTCCCTGCCCTATCCCCCAACACAGGATTTTTTGTTTTGTTTTGTAGGCTGGAATGTATATCCTTTTTTCTTTATGCTGAGATACTTTAACATTAACCTTATTCATTATTTCCCTCCTCTTTCCAAATCGGTAATTCCTCACAGCTGTAGGGCAGGAGTGTATGATGACTCCCAACCCCTCCCACCTCCAGTACTTTGGACACTAAATTCTCTGAGCTATGCCTTTTCTTTAAAAATTTCCCCCTTGAAAAGGAGGTGTTTTGGTTATAAATACCTTCAAAGATTAAACAAAATTCCTAGAGGATAAAAAGGCAGTGATTGCATAAAGCTGAATGACAGGAACCAGAGCTAGATTAAGTACAGTACTACAATTTCTTAGGGTGCAAATGGACATTAGGCCAATAGTGACCGTATTTATGATTAGAATAAACGTTTCCTGAGTTTGTTACACTAGCTAAACAAATATACCTCTAGAAAGCAGCTAGCTATATGGGAGTTAATATACATTTCTTCAATAGCAAAAATTAAACAGGTTTGTAGGAGATCCACTAAGGAACTAATGAATATAAAGACTGAAGACTGTGTAAACAGTCTATGTTTTAGCATTGAAATTTAACATGCCTTTTGTTTTTTAATCATATTAAATAAAAGATAAAGTAAAATACCATTCTTTTCATTTCTAGAACAGTTTGTGTTAGGAGCTACTCAAGGCAACATATGGATTAGTGTAGTTGAAATTTATCTTCAGTATCATTACCTTCTTTCTGCCTCTTTGCTTTCTTTCAGAGACAGATCCTTCAGCAAGTACCCAGTTTCATTACAAAAAAATTCATCCAATGGTAGTCTCTTTGTCTGACTTCCTGGACAAGGTCAGTTCCCCTTATTGTATTTTTTGTCTTTTCCCATGGCACCTTGTAATTTTCCCTTTTCTAGATCGCTCTCACTTGTTGACTTTCTTTGTAATCTATATGCTCTGTGAAGGCAAGGGCAGTGTCTGATTTTTTTGTTTGCTTAACAGTGACTAGTATATAATATGTTTATAGTTTTTATTAAATTAATTGACATGACTATCTTATCTCTTTTGGGAAAATGTGCATTCCCCCTATTTTTAAAAACATGGAACTTGGTTCTGTTGATTGAAATGAAATGCAATAAAAATTAGTTTCATGAGGCCAAGGGGTAAGACTTCAAAAGAAAGATATAGAAAATCATTCTCAAGACTTTCCAGCATCAAGAGAAATATTTATTTTCATACTGGTAGCTTCCTCCATTCCTCTTCAGAGAAACAGTGTAGATAACCTAAGTATGGCTTTACTTGCCCTTACCAATTTCTATTATTTCAGCGACAAGTTCCAGCTGATTTTTTTAAAAGATTTTTTTTTTTTTTAAATTTTTAAATAATCTCTATACCCAAGATGGGGCTCAAACTCACAGCCCGGAGATCAAGAGTCTCATGCTCCCTTGACTGACCCAGACAGGTGCCCCAGATCTCTCTCTTTTCTCTCCTTGCTTGTTTGCCCCCACCCCCTAATGTCCCTTCAGGTTTACTAACCTTATTGAAGTTAAGGGAGGCCCTGGATAGAGGCAGTTGACAAGTCTCACATGTGAAAATTTATAAAAATAAATCTGGGGGAATGGTAATTCAATTACAAATGTTTACTAAATTCTTTTGAATTTAGTAAAATTCTGTTCTAGTCTAGCCTACAATATTGTTTAAATCGATGAGAAAATGCAACTTTTCAGACCACAACTGAACATTGTAGGAGCAGAAAACGTTTTTTTTTTTTTCTTCTTAATGTTTTAAGAAAAACCAACGTAAGACGTAACAGGGAACACACAGGACCGATCTCATATCCCACGTCTCCAGTCCATTTCTTCTACTTTCCACTGCTTTGCGTTGTCGTTAAGTTACTTCAGACTTTAAGGTCAATGGGAAAAAACAAGACAGCAGCCCTTTGCCTTTTCCTTCCCGCATATGGCTGTGGAAGAGGATAGGCTCCAGGTTGCACGATTTCGAAAACGCGTATTCAACAATTGCCCATTGGACTTTGTCTTCCCCTGGACTTGAAAAAGTGGGGAAAGTGAGGTTGGCCACTTTTATGGCCAGTTATCCTGTGGTGCTGTGGGCGTGTTTTTGCATCTCATACAATGGGTGGAGGTGAGAACCAAGGAACTGGGACCTTCGTACCGGTTAGCGTCCCTCAAAGCCCTCACTTTAAATTAGCAGGGAAAACGAAAGTCTTCTGGGGAGCGGGAATGGGCGGGTTGGGCACAAATTAACGAACAAGAACATTCCCGGGCACAGAGTTTAACAGCAGAGGGCACAATACCCACTGCCCATAGC